TTTTCCTTTGGATCTGTCCCATTATCCCCTCTAGTGGTTGGGAACCAATGGAAAATATGTTGGGATAACTTCATTATGGGAATGCCATTGACTCAGATGGGGGCAGGGAGAATTCTTTCTGGTCCTTTCTTTTTTTTTTTCTTCTTGTTTCCAGTTCTGTAAATAGATCCTAAAGACTCCATTGCAAATATATAGTTCTGGATATGATAATATATATATTTTTTCACTTTTTGAGTCACACTTAGTGATGCTCAGGAGTTACTCTCCTGACTCTGCACTCAGGAATTACTATGGACTGTGTGTGGGTGGTGTGGGATGCCATGGATCGAACCCAGGTTGACTGTGTGCAAGGCAAATTTTTTAAACTATTGCTCCGGCTCCTGATAATAACTCTTTTATTGTTTCTACACATCAGAGCCTGGCAAGCTCCCCGTGGAGTACTTAATATGCCAAAAACAGTAACAATAACGGGTCTCATTCCCCTGACTCTGAAAGAACCTCCAATATGGCAGCTTTGGAAAATGCAAGTAAGGAGAGGCTGCTAAAATCTCAGGGCTGGGACAAATGGAGATGTTACTGGCGCTCACTCAAGTAAATCCATGAACAACAGGATGACAGTGATACAGTGATTGTTTCCATGTCACAGCTGACGTGTGTTGGAGCAGGTGTTTTCTATTGCATTGTTCAGGCACTAATCTGTTCACCATCTCTAAACTCAAGGCCAGGGAAAACAGGGCCTAGGAGGACTGGTCAGTAGTTGGAATCTTACAAGTGTATGTGGGGCAGAGGGTAGATAAGATATAGAAGGGACCAGTATGACAATAATAGTGGAAATGATCACACTGGGCAAAACTGAGTGTTAAAAGAAGGAAAATAGGTAAAGGAATATACATGATAATCTTTCAGTATCTATATTGCAAACCAATTGCATATGCCCAAAAGAGTGTCAGGGAGAGACTGGGGAGGAGGAGAAGAAAAGTGTTTGCCATATAGGTAGCCTGGGGTGGGGTGGGGGGGATGATGGGAGGAAAACTATTGACACTGATGCTGGGAAATGTACACTGATGGAGGAGTGGGTGTTGGAACACTGTATGACTGAAACCTAATCATGAATAGGTTTGTATGAGTCTATCTCACAGTGATTCAATAAAAAAAATCTTTAAAAAAATAAAAGACCCACTCTCATGACTAGCTTGGAAAAGAATGGAAAATATCTTTGTGTTTAGAACTGATGGGCTGACAAAGATATCAGATGCTGTCTGGCTTAGCTCATTTTTTAACTCTGGATATGAACTGACACTCAAATAAAGTGATTCTATGTGGAATATTAGAGGGTAGGGTCTGGAACATAAAAACTAAATCATATCAAATTAGGAAAGAAATCTTTCCATTAGAAAAAGAGCCAGAAAGATAGTCTGAGAATTGCAGGTACAGGAGGACAATAACCCTTGAGCAAAATCTTTAATCAGTCTTTCCTTGCCACTCTCATGCTTCCAGCCAGTTTTCCCATGCTCCCAGGGATCAATTCCATTCCAGTCATCTTCCTATTTTTGTTACAAAAACTAGCTAACATTTGTTGGATAATTATTATTTGATAGCCATCCACCTTAGACTTTGCATGGTCTCAGAAATTCTCAGATATATTGGGTCTACTGCCCGCTTTTCAAAAAATAAAAAAGTGCTCACTGGAAATCTACTTTAATGGAACAGAGTCCTTTCAAATTGTACCTGAGGCTACTATCATCCCTATGGATCATTCTAGAACCCACCAGGGGGTGGTCCTTCCCACTTTGGGGAATATTGGTTTGTCTCACCTTATTCTGAGCTTTTTTACCGCTGCTAGAAGCAAATGCTATATAATTTAGACATTGTTACAGAGCTTTGAGATGTTTTTAAACCTTGACTATAACCATCAATAAGAATCTTGTGTTTCAAGCAATGATATTCTCTGGAACATTATGTTTATTATATGATAATTTTTCTATTCCAAATTATACAATGTTATTAAAACCAGACTCCCTGGCTCTCTAAATGATTTTACTACCCACTAAAGAGTAATGGCCTGTAAGATTAATGAAAGAAATAGCAGTGATATTCTGATGTCATCTGGAGGACCAGAAAAATCCAGACTATACCCTTTTTTTTCCTTCTTCATTTTTTTTTTTTGCTTTTTGGTCCACACCCAGTGATGCTCAGGGGTTACTCCTGGCTCTGCACTCAGGAATTACTCCTGGCAGCGCTTGGGGGACCATATGGGATGCCAGAAATCAAACCTAGGTCGACTGCGCGCAAGGCAAACGTCCTACCTGCTCTACTATTGCTCCGCCCCCCAGATGTTAGTAACTCTTATGCTTACTTTATAATTATGCTTCTTTAAAAAATTGAACATCGTTATAGACATTGTCTGAAAGGAAATGTGAAAAAGCAAAATACTCTGAATGTTTAGTGAATATCTGTCATGTGATAAATATCAGGGTAGACTAAAGATACAGGTTTAAGGACAACTGTGGAGCATTTTACAAACTCTTAAAAAAAAAGACCTAAAAAGTTACATCCTCTAGAATATGTATTTTTGCCTGACTTGTTAAATTGGCATTTTTACCTAAAGGAACATATTTTGAAGATCTGTGTTAAATACAGTGAGCCAAAAACTGAGCGAAACAAACCATCATTTAACTAGAGGTAGATGAGAGTCTTTTGTCTTGTCTCTCAGGTTTTTCTTTGTCATATTCCTTGTGTTAGCAGGTCAGTAAAACCCTGGAACATGCTTGTCAAGTTTCCATGACAAATTTGTAATGCAATATCATAATCTTTTAGGACAGCATATGTTTTAATAAAGAGTTTACTTTTTTCTTTTTAGATGGGGAGTTAATAGACTGTTACTTCCTATTTCCTGTGTTATTTCCTAACATAAATCTTTGCTGCTTCCAACTGGGTAGTGGTTTCATTCATTCCTTTCATTTCTCTTTGACTTACCTCCTCATCACTGAATCTCAGATGTCACTGTGGGTTATAATGAGGGGAATTTAGGAGGCAATCAGAATGATCAGACTGTCCTCTGTTCAGAACACAGAGCCAATTTCCTGCCTTCCCCCTTTATACTCTTAGAAAATATTCTTACAAAACTTGTCATCTATAGGGTTTAGAGGTATTTCAGAGCTGTAGAACGTGTACCTTGTATGCATGAATCCGACATTCAGTCACTGGCATTGCAGGCACCTCTGAGCACTGCTGTACATCACCCTGGTGGCCCTGCCCGCCATACTCTGAACTCTCAGGCCTGCACTGAATATGTCGAACTTTGTATCACTGGGAGTGCCCTCAGGACCCTTAGCACAAGTTTTAAACCATGAGACAAGTAATTCCTTACAGATTCATAGTTACAGCCTACAAATCTTGATGCTATGAAATGTAGAATATAGCATTGGGACTGGACTAGAATTAATGAAAGTTAAACTTTATCTTTACTAAAATGCTTGTCATGTTGGTCAGCCTATTATTCATCTTACTGGCATGTATTAGTAGAGTGACTTTGGGAAGTAAGGGTCTAGCCCCAGTTTTTAATCAATATTGTTTCCCAGAGTGGATCATTTAGTGCATCTCATCCTCTATATCTCTGTGATGAAAGATTGGGATGAGTGTTTTCCAGGGGCCCATCAAGTTCTGGTTCAAGGGTCTATTTGAGAAATTTCAGTCAAAGTCAAGGACTCATTACAAATTCATCCTTACTTGTGTTGACATAAGAAAGTTTTTACTATCAGGACTAATATCCACTGATGTTCATGTTTAATTTTCTTTTCTGTTTTGGTTAGGACTTAGGAGATCTTAGAATCAGGACAGAAAGCTCATAGGTGATTTTTGCTGAAATGTATTGGTTGTCTTGGTTACAGCTGAATCTTGTGTGTGGCAGAAATGCATTTTTGCTTTGTTTTGGATATATCTGATACTTCTTGTAGTTATGTTTTGCTCTCATCATAGATAGGTTTCATAGAATGAGAAAATCAAAACTCTTAGTTGATAAATGGGGGTGTATCATGATATGGGTAGGAAAATGTGTTCCTGTTTATGAAACTCAAACCCCACTTTAAGGTGCTTACTTTCAGCCTGTATTATTTAAACATTATATTCAGTTTGTAAAACAGTTCATTAAAAGTCCTTTCTCACCCTTAATTGTAATGTCTCAATTATTTTGTTGTTGTTGCCCTTGTTTTGTCAATGAGAGCAGTTACCGGAAGGAATAGAAGAGGAACTTGTTTACATAGCTGCTCTGGCTCTGCTGAAATCAGCTGTTCTTTCTTTTGTGGTTCTTTAAAAAATTTTTTTATTAAAGTATTGTGAGTTACAATAATTTTTTAATAATTGGTTTACAAAAGAAAATTATGTTGCCCAAAGTTATTTTATGAATATAATACTAACTTGCAATCATTTCTGCAGAGCTAACCTTGAAATACATGAACTTTGATTTTTTTCCTGATCTGCCATCTCTGTATTCTGCAGAGCATAATTTAAATACCACCTTTTTCTTATTTCTCAAGAATAGTCACAGTTGTTATACACCCTTCCTTCACATTTTGTGATCCACATTTAGATGTAATAAAAGTGAAATCCTTATTTTATCATGCTCTTCTCAAATCCTACTAAATTTTAAAAGCTTTCCCATAAGAGTATGCTGTAACCTGATCAACTATTACTCTTCTTTAATGTTTTAAAAATGGTTTTCTCTGGTGCCAGAGAGATAGTACAGTGGGTAGGGTGCTTGCCTTGCGCATAACTGATAATGTTTGATCCCCAGCATTCCATGTGGCCTTCTGTGTACCACCAGAAGTCATTCATTTCTGAGTGCAGAATCAGGAGTGAGTTCCGAGCATTGCTGGGTGTGCCCCACCTCACCCATGATTCCATGATTTGTTCTAACTTTATCTTATAAATCAATCATGCTTGTACTTTTATTTGTTAAGTGAATTTGCCAAATGAACTGAAATCTGTTGTTCTCCCAACAGAGTTAATCATCTCATTTTAGTGGAACCTTGGGGTTTTCCTGAGCGACCAGACCTTGCTGATCAAGAGAGACCAATTCCAGTTTGGATCAGAGCCCTGGGTGCAGCATTAACTCCTTTTAATCCTTTAGCTGGCCTCAGGATTGCAGGACCCTTTGGTGAGTGCTTATGTCAATATCCTAGGAAAGCAGAACGTTTATAGCAGAGTACTTACTGATCACTACTGTTAGTCAAAATCATAAAAATGCATACAGAAAACTGAACTTTACTTTTTCTCTGCTTCATCTAAATAGTAGCAGTCCACACACAAAAATGAATGATATCAGACTTTTGGCCTTAAGAGGAGTTTCAGTATGTAGGATTCTGAAATAAAAAAAAAATATGGATCCTGCTTGATCAGAGTTATACGTGTATCTACTGTGGAAAAAGTAGGAAAAGTGATTAGGAGACATTGAAGGGAGGAGCAAGGATGCCTGGGGGACCTTTACAGCCATGTTCTCAGTCTCCCATTACTGCTTGTATGTGGTGATGGTGGGGCTAGGTGATGGAGAATATCAACTGCCTCATAAAAATTCTTTCTGGAGTTGTTTAATTTCTTCAGAGAGAGAAAGGAGGGGTCATTAAAATAGTGAGACCTTGATAGAATAATGAGTAGCGATATTAGAAAGGGAAACTGGCCAGACCTTGTGACCCCAGAGGGAAAAACAGTAACCAGACAGGCTGTCACGTCTTTCCTTGGGATGGAGTGGGGAGGAGTGTGGTGTCTTATCCTTGCCATTCATCTCAGGAGTAGGTCTTTGGGTGCCTTAGCAGGGAATATTGCTAGAATTGCAAGTATAAACACCTACAGAAATATTTCTATATTGTACTTCATTAAGTTGCATAACGTGGTGTTATTGTAAAAGAAATACAATTACAGGGGGTTTTTTTGGTCTGATCTGCTTTATTCACCTGCACTATTTAGTAGAATTAATTATGCTACCAAAATAAGTCTTAGAATACTAAGTTATATGTAGTCTCCTAAAGCAAGTAAGTCAGTCTATACAATACTCTTTTAATTCTTACTTTAGTTTTAGGGAGCATAAAGTGAACAGCTTTTAGGATATTTGCTTCTATATACCTAAAACATGTGCTGAACACATACATGTAGGTGTGTGTATATAACACCCATTATATAAGCAGACACTAAAACTTTCTGTGTTAGTATGTAAGTTTACTATGATTTAAAGTACATGTATAATTTAAAACAATCATTTCCTATTAAATAGGTTTAAGTCTAGTACAACGTTTAAGGCCTGATTTTAAACGGAAGTATTCTTCGATGTTTGAAGATGACACTGTGACAGAATATATCTACCACTGTAATGTACAGACTCCAAGGTAAGAGTTAAAATTCTAAATTTACTTTGATTTAACTTTAGACTCTTCTCTTTTTAAAGTAAGTGAGTAGTCCCAGTCTTTATCAGTAGTTAAATGACTAAATATAATACTTTCTAATGTATTCATTTGTTCGTGGAGTCCCTACTGAATCACAGTGTAAAACATTGTATTTGATTCTGACATGAGATTGAACTATCAGGCTTTCTTCTTTTAAAGTGCTTCTGGATGAACAAAGGGGAATGCCCTGCCACAAAGGCAGGGTGGGATGGGGGGCATAGAGGGTGGGAGGGGTATTGGGATCAGTGGTGGTGGAAAATGGGCACTGGTGGAGGGATAGGTACTCCATCATTGTATAATTGAAACCCAAGCACAAAAATTTGTAAGTCTACAACTGTACCTCAAGGTGTTTCACTAATAAAATAAATAAATAAATAAAAATAAATAAAGTGCTTCTGGATAAATTGAGCAAGTCTTGATTTCTTGGTCATCTGTAGGAGGTGGTCAGAGTTAAGAGATAAAGAACTTCAAATTAAACCGCATTCTCAAGCTGAGTATAAATGTTCTCTATGGGGGGGAGGCAGTGGAGAGGAATAAACAAAAGTAAATGGTTTTCTCAACCATGGATCTTAGAAACTTTTATTATGCTGAAGGGTATTAAATTTCCCAAGTATTTGGAAGGTGCTGTGCAATATTTTTCAAATATATTTGATAATTGCATCCCTCTCTTACCGAGTGACTCATAATAACTGAAGATCAGATCAGCATGAGAAACACTACAGTGGAGAGAAGTTAGGTGGGAAGAAGGATTTAGTATATGTTTTGAGAGTGAATAAAGGAGATTGGGTGTTGTAGTCAGAGGGAGCCAGTAGGCCAAACAAAATTGTTTCTTAATTATGAAAAGAATGTGACTATGGGTATCTGGAGTTTGGGTACATGGCATCACTGTGAGGAAACAAAGCCTGGACAAAGGGGTGAGGAGACCTTAGAGGAGCCTGAAAGACATTACTCTGTAGAGTTGTTAGGGAGTGGATCAAGAAGAGCATGAAGGTGAAAATTTGAATTTTCATTGTTTGTACTAGAATTGTTGGGGGGGGGGACTTGTCAAAAATATAATTCTTGAGCCCAGTTTCTAAGACTGTGATTCAGTGGTTTTAGGACTACATCTTCATCGAAATCTTAAATGATCTGAGTGTAGGTGGGCCACGAACTTCTCTACTTAAGTTCAGTAAGTAGAAGTGGTCCCTCTTTTCTGGATTGAGATTTGGTTGAAAGACTGGATATAGAAACAGTCTGAGGGCAGAAACACTTAGGACAGAGAGTATGTACACCTATTTTATTAAAAAGACAGATCATGGAGACTATTGCGGTAGAGCAGTAAAAGAAAAATGTATGGTAGTGGGGCCAGAGTGATAGTACAGCAGGTAGGGTATTTGCTTTGCACAGGCCTGACCCAGGTTAGATCCCCTGAGCCTGCCAGGAGAGATTTCTGAGTACAGAGTTAGGAGTAAGCCCAAGCATCATCAGGTGTGACCTAAAAAAAAAAAACTAAAACAAAAGTAAAAGATGGTAGAGATTCTCTAAAGAAAGAGGGAAGTTGGAGAGGTCTTAAGAGATTGATTCACTGAGTAATCATATTTAGTGAATTAGGCCAACATACTTCATTAACTAGTTCCAACAGCTTTTAATTGTCTATCCCAGGGACATCATCCATTTTCTCGCATGGTCTTTTTTATTCTTCACTTACTGACAACTCATAATTATATGTGCCATGTAGCCCCAGCTTACTGCCTCTCATGTTGTGAAATGATTTATTCAAAAAAGATAATTCAGAATGGTTCTATCCTGGGAGTTATCAAAATGTTCTTTGTTCTGTTATGTGGTAGACAGTCTGTTGAGGCCACGAGGCACAGATATTCAAGAAGACATTGATTATACCCACAGGTCCTAGAGAGGGGGATACTGAATGCCATTGAGGGTTACAAGGTCACAGGAAAGCTACAGATTTTGATCAGGTGGCAGAAGACAGTAGTGAAGAGAACATCTGGCCAGAACTTTTATTGGCCTATACAGGGCAGACTGAGAAGTCTAAGAGGAGCTAGTTGAGTAGTTTTGTTAAACCCTTTAGATATAGCAGTGGTCTCTAGTTGCCTATCTCCTACTCCTGGGGTGATTAAAGCTGAGGAATACTGCCTCCTGGTATGTATGGGTGGACTGAATGAAGAGACATTGCTCTGGATCGGTTTGTTTGCATGTCAGAGGCATATCCCCACATGCCTTAATATGAGTCCTTTGCTATCTTGCTGTCTACTATTTCTAAGACGTATTTTTTTTCTCTGCCAAGATGGTTTTGGGACTACACCTGGCAGTGCTCGGGGATTACTTCTGGCGCTGCTCACAGAGATCACTGCTGACAGTGCTTGGGGGACTATATGTGGGTGCCAGGGATCAAACACGGGTCAGCTGTGTACAAGGCAAACACTTTACCCACTGTACTATATCAACCCAGTCCCAAATTGGTTTTTTAAATGCCAAACATCATAATATGCATACAAATTAAAAATAAAGGTCACACATCAAAAATAATATAATTTCTTCTTGTCACAAGAAATTTAGTAATTTAATAAGAAGGGAATTTGCTTAGGTTGTGTTTTTTGATTTAGAAGGTAACTTTTTTGTAATAAGCTAGAGTTTAGAGCAGCCTTGTTCAATTGACAGAAGTGGTCTCTTCTGTGGGGTGATGTTTTCACTTTGTAGCAAATGATTTTCTTGGCTGAGTTTGTCTTAAATGGGGGAAAGTTAAAGTATGAGTCAAAATGATAAATGTGGAAAGGAATGCATTTTCCTCCCCAGGAGTCATATATGTTACTTTCTCCCTTATATTTAAGTGGTGAGACAGCATTCAAAAACATGACTATTCCTTATGGATGGGCAAAACGGCCAATGCTCCAGCGAATTGGTAAAATGCACCCTGACATTCCAGTTTCAGTCATCTATGGCGCCCGGTCCTGCATAGATGGTAACTCTGGCACCAGCATCCAGTCACTGAGACCACATTCATATGTGAAGACCATAGTAAGTGTGGTTTATCTGTGCTTTTGAGTTGTAGGTTAAGTGTGTTGTATTATTTTTGTCTTCAGAGAGGTCTCAGGTCATCCCTGTGCATTCCCATCTGAATTATACCTGCAGACTCAAAGGTCTACGGGAGGGTTTCCCATCACATACCTTCCCATGCAGGCATTGAATCTCCTTTTTCAGATGTCTTGCCTGTCCCTCAGGTCACAACAATTCCTAAGTGGCAGACACTGAAAGATGGATAGGTAGGTCCCTAGTAACCTTCAGGCAAACTTCTGTCTCATAAGGCATCACGTTCTCACTTCTTCCATGGCCCTAACATTAGTGGTTAAATTTAAAAAGCGTTTGGATATTAAAATGTATTTTATTTTTGCCTCCCCAGCAGTATAAGGATGTCTCAGGGACCACTCCTAATAATACCAAGTCCAGCAATATTGTTTAGGCCTGGCAGTTCAGTGCTGTTAGCAGTGGAGTGCTGCTTGGGGGCCACCAGGACTATGCCCAGTGGTCTTGCTGCAGGAGGTGAGAACGTGGGAGGTAGTACCAGGGATCAAACGTGGGACCTAGAGCATACCTTGCATCTTTGAGCAATTTGAGCCATTTCCTGAACCCTGCTTAGTAAAGTTTAATAAGGTCCACTTGCAAGCATAAGACCTAGATTCAGTTCAGTTTGCATCTCACACATATACACATTGTATGTTTCAATAGACTTTTTTGTTTATATTTAGATACTTTCATTTGATAAAAATTTATAATACTTACTGAAGATCATTGTTCTGTATTCTTTCATATTTTATTTAATGATAGTTATCCTCATTTTCATTGTGAAATGTCTTTTTTATGTCATGTGTCATATTGAAAGCAATTTGCCAATCATCTGGCTGCTTTTCTTTTTCAGGCTATTCTTGGTGCAGGGCATTATGTGTATGCAGATCAACCAGAAGACTTTAACCAGAAAGTAAAGGAGATCTGTGACACTGTGGACTGAGCACATTGAAGATGATGTGGGAAAACCTGCTGACCGATGCAGTTCCTCAGCAATCATTCACAGTCACAATGAAGAGCATGGAACACAATGAAAGAAGCAGGCAATCTTCTTGACTGTTCTTTGCACTTGTTTTCTTTATGAAGTCGCTTGCACTTTTAAACCAGTTAGTGCCTTCTAGAGGACTGGGTTTCCTTTCTCCTATACAAAATCAAAATATACAAGAGTCTCCAAATCTAATAGCTTTAATAAAAGGTTATTTGTCCTTCTGTTATACTGAAAAACTGTAATTTTTCAATTGAAATTTTTCATCTCTAACTTTGCTATGTCAGGCACTTTTTATATTGCCAATTTTTAAAGTAATTTCTGGATCTGTTTTATATAATGTAAAGGTGCACTTTATTTTCTTCGCTTGTATTTACCATGTTTAATAACTGGTATAGGAAATCAAAACTCAGTGTTTTATGTAAAAATTGTCATTTTAGAATATTTCACTTCATTTTTGAAATGGAGTAATTACATTTTAGTGAAAAAAAAATGGGAGTTGATCACTAGCCGTACTTTTTCTGATTTTCTTATCTTCTTGATTTAAGGCTTCAAAACCATATTTAACACTTTAAATGTGATTCATCCTGACATCTGCAACAACATAACTGAAATCTACAATGTATGGCATAATTCTGCATTTTCAGGGACACATGACACAAATATTTAAATGATTCAAGTACTGAAAAGTCTTTACACCCCCCACCTCATTAATACTGTTATTTTCCCATGAGCCAGACAGGATGTAGCAAAAGGTACATATTTTCCCAAAGGTAATATCAAGATTGTTACCTTCCAGGAGTTCACATCCTCTGTCTTCATCAGTATCTAACTTGCAGATGGGTGCTAAATATGGGCTATATTTGTACCACTCAAATTTATTTTGTATTTATACAAAAATAGGGGTGCTTTTATATCCCACAGCACCAGGAATGAACAAGCTTTTGGATTTATTGTTTTCTTTTGAAAGGGTTTGTATTGACTTAATAAAATACATACTTGAAGCTATATTACAAGATTTCTGAAAAGTTGATTGAACTATGTAACAGTAACTACTGTAAATTGTGGCACTTTCTTGCTTTTATAAAATGAGGGAAACTTTCTTAAACCTGTGGGAAAAACTCTATAAGATAACTGGCTGCTGGAGTAGGCCCATTACAAGAGAAAACTGAATAAGATTATTGTTATCACCAAAAGACATCTTTGCCTTAAGTTTTACTAATGTTGCTTGCCTAAGAGAAATATGTTTATATAAATAAGAACCCTGAACTAGAACAAATAGTGGTTTAATGGTTTTGACTGTTGCATTTTTAAAGTGGTTAATTAGGAAATTTGTAGGATTAGGAATTATAAAGTGTATCACTATTGATTAGCTTCCAGAAAGACTGTATGTTCTATTTTTAGCACTATCACTACTATAAGAATAAGGAGAATATATGAAAATAGAACAAAAATCTTTTCAGTGAACTCCCTTGTTAGGTTAATGCAGTAATTACAAGAAAGTAATATGAGATTTGTCATTTGTCAGATTTCTTAAGCCTACAAACAAAAGTAGGCCTTGATTTTTACATTAAAATGTCTTCTTGAATGGCTAAATTCAAACTTACAAGAGGGAAGGTAATTAGGGCAATACGTGTTTGACTATTCTCCAGTCCTTCTGAATTATCCTTTGCTAGTTGAGCGAGTTTTCACTTGATTAGGAGGTTTTCTCCACAGGGAACATAGTCCCAGTTCTTGCAGGGATATTATATATTCTCCAGTGAATGGCGGGTTTATGGCCACAGATGCACTAAATGAGACAGGAAAAAAAAAAAAGATTACCTGTGTCAAGTGGAACTTTTGTTTTCTACTTACTGATTTTGCTTTATTTTAAAAATATGCTAATAACATTTTTAAGGTGAACTTTTACCTTGGAGTGTGGAGTATGAAATTTTGTGGAAATTGAGCCAGCAGAAAGGTCAAAATCCTTGAATTCTTGAATATCCCATGAATGATGAGTGTTCTTAAAAATAAAATCTGTTACAGCACTTGATCTTTGCTAAATTATAATAGTGTATTTGAACTTTACTTTAAAGATAAATTTTACTGTGATAATCACATGAGAGTTGATGTATATTTTCTGGCATCTTAATATGGCCCAGTGTTGTTGCATTGTTATAGACTATGAATCCAGTCAGTTTGACTCTTAAGATTGTTGGCATTTTGAGAGAAGGCTGCTTTGTGGTGTTGTAACTTCCATATATGGTTTTACCTGTGTCTATCCTTAATATGTTTTCTTTTATAACTAGTTTTCAAAACAGGCTTGCCTGGTTTTGAATTATTATGAATCAAATATTTTTGCAATATGTGTATGTTTTTATTTAAAGGGCATACTAAATATAATAGAACAAGAAGCTTTTTCCCCCTCAACATGAAGTCATTAGAAAGAATGAATTGTAGTAGCTAGCACCCTAGACAGTACAGTGGGAAGGAGATATAGACCTACCAGATATGTAAAATAAACATTATAGGAAAAGCCCAGGAATTTAATATATAATAAAGGAAGACTCTTACTGATGGAAAAAGACCTTAAAAATGGTTTGGAGACAAAATTATTAACCATACAGAAAACAAAATAAGCTTAATTCATCATTCATCCTATATACAAGGTTACATATCCAATTGAATCCAAGGCCCAATTACAAAAATGAAAACTAAATAACTAGAAGAAAACGTAGGTCAGTTTCTTAGTAATCTTTTCAACATTTTTATGACTGAAAGTTCAGAAACCATAAAAGGAAAAGTTTGTATGTCTACCTGAAAATGTAGATTATTTTTCCATGATAAAAAAAGAATGAAATAAATAGTAGAATTGGGGATGGGAATGTATTTATCAGAAGGTAATATATAACCTAATTGTGAAGAATTCCTAAACTTTGAGAAAAACCTCAAATGATGAACAGACAGTTCCCAGAAAATAAAATGCAAGTGACTTTAAACATGAGGATATGCATAGTAAGAGAAAGGCAAATTAAAGTCACCAAAATATGATTTCTTACCTGTCAGATTAGGGAGAAGCTAACTTATACAGTATACTCCATTAGTGAAACAGCAGGGAAACAGGTTTCCTGAAAATTGCAAATTACTGTGGATGTTAATAACTAGCCAAGTTACATATGACTTTGTGCTTCAACCTGACAGTCTTATTTCTAAGAATCTGAGATGACTGACAAGATTATGAAGTGGTGTATGCACTGAGGTCTTTGTAGCCCAGTTTATAAGAGCTAATGATAAGTATCCACCAGAGTCTCCTTGGACAGGAGATTGATGGAAGAAACTCTGCTACATCCATCCAGTGGAATTCCACACAGCTCTAAAAGAATGAGAGCAGTTCCTCTGAATTTTCTGCAGTAATGTCCAGAGAAGAAGCAAAAGTAGAAACTAGAATGTAGAGAGAGCTGCCTGCTGTATTAGAGGGGCAGATACCAAAGACAAAGGTGTGGTTTGTCTTTTTTTTTTAATGCAGTTGAAAGGATTTGTTATGCCAATAACTTATAAATCAATTCTTTGGTGGTAATGGTCGAGAGCTGTCAGGGAAGGCTTATAGTTCGGATAGTTTGCTTTTTCTTTATTCATTCTGGGACTCTTAATGTTTTCTGTTAAAAAACCCTTCAAACTAAAATTTAACATCAAATTCCTTCAAGTGACTTAAAGCCTAGCATTTTTTGGCACTAACCTAATGTGATGTAGTCCAGAGACTTAGAAAGATCACAAAAAATATTAAATTACATAAAGTATTTTTATTTTCAGATTTGATATTGGTGTTGTCATTTTGAAAATGTGTCTTTATCTATGGCAAAAAATATATTTACTTATGTCACTGGAATTGAGAGTTAAGATTTTCAGCACAAGAGATAAGAGATGAAAGAATAAAATCAAGTGAAAAAGAGAACAAATCCTGTCAGTGTATATTTTAATTATTTTAAATTATTATAATTAATTATATTTTAATTAGCAAAATAGTGATTTCCTTTTCTGTTGATGAAATATACATGTCTTATAGTTTGTTCCACTGAAAAGCAATCTTAACCCACATGTGGGACCCATCCTAACACTCTGTTAGGGACTGTCCCAAGAAAGGAGCAGAGCAATGGCAAAAGAAGTCTGGAACATCTTGCATCTGAAAGCAGAGAAGCAATCAGAGTAAGATAATGATAGAATGAGCCAGGAACTAACTTGAAGGGGTGCCCATTGGCAAAGGTGGAGCAAGATGAGTATCAAGAGAATAGTGGGCTGAGGAGAGAGACAGCTTGAAGAGCTGGAGCAGCCTTACATGCTTGGGTCTCTCAAGCTTCTCCCAGGGTGGCCCTCATGACATCCAGCAGTGCTGGGCCCCAGCAGGATCACCCTGCCAAGGTCTGAGCATGAGACTGACCAGTTTGCAACTTCCTGCCAGGAAAGACCTCTTAATCCTCTATATGTTGATTGGGAGCCTATTCCTAACCCTCACTTCTCCAAAATGAATAGTGAGTTGAAACATGATTTGTGTAAAGATTATGAAGTCACATTGATAGTTTAAATGAGAGTTATTGGGGTTTTAACTCATTTTTAAAATTGTAAAATTGTCAATTTGGGGGCAGTGGCAAATGGTTAATTTTTTTTTTTTTTTTTTTTGCTTTTTTGGGTCACACCTGGCGATGCTCAGGGGTTATTCCTGGCTTTGCACTCAGGAATCACTCCTGGCGGTGCTCAGGGGACTATATGGGATGCTGGGAATTGAACCCGGGTCGGCCGCGTGCAAGGCAAACGCCCTACCCACTGTGCTATTGCTCCAGCCCCTGGTTAAAAAAATTTTTGCTAGGAAAATGAACTCTGATTTCTTTTTATATTCCTTTAGCCTGGAAAGGTATTCACATCAGAATCACAGCTAAATATCAAGATAATAGGGTTTAAAAAGGAAAAAAAAAATCACCTCTGGTGAATTTGTCTCTTCTAGTGAAATAATAAATCATTTTGTGAAAAAAACATGAGGTATATGGTAGACAGCATGCTAGCTCAAGAAGGTGAGAAACTCCACAAGACAAATAATCCAATTTTTTCTAACAATTGGACTTGGCAATACTTGAAGATTAGGAAATTTAAAAGAACTCACTTGAAACTTAAAGGATTCATTTGAACAAAACCAGCTTAAGCTTATTTTGAGACAATTATTTTTAAAAATTAAGGTGGATTGTCTATCCCATGATATTAATGAATCATTTTGTTGAGTAAAAGAATAATGATTCATACAAGGGCTAAAATGTGGTCAAATCAGGATCCAGCTATATCTGTGGTTGGAATTATGGCTGGAATTTATCTGAAAACATAGGGGGAAAAGACATGTGCATTCGCTCATGTTTTAATTGAAAAAAAGAAAATACATAGATAAGCATCTCAGTACAGAACAGGTAGGAGAATTATCTTAGAGGCTCTCTAATCTGTGTGGCTAGGAGAGTTGGATTGGGAGCAGAGGGGCAGGTGTTCAGAGTATGGGTGGCTATTAATCTGTAATTGAATTAAGGAAACTTGAACTCCAAACTGCTAGTCTGAATCTGTTTCAAGATGGAAATATGGTCCCAGTGTAACAACACCTTATTCATTTGTTCCCTTGTGCTTAAGATTGGTAAAAGGGACACCTGAATTGATGCACATTTCTTTCTATCTACTAAACTCTACCTATATGTCTCCATTATTTATTCACCACCATATCTATTTTTTCCTCTAAAAACTTTCCTTAGAAAAAAGTTTTAAGAATTGGTTAGAACTTGTCTACTTTCTAGTAATAGGTAACTTAGTTTAGCATCTTTATTTAAAATCGGAAAAACACTCTTATTGAGTTATTTTCTAAATGACACAGATAATTTTACGCTAGCAGACATTTTATTTTTTTTATTCATTTTATTTATTTTATTTTTTTGCTTTTTGGGTCACACCGGCAATGCACAGGTGTTACTCCTGGCTCTGCACTCAGGAATTGCTCCTGGCGGTGCTCAGGGGACCATATGGGATGCTAGGAATTGAACCCAGGTCGGCCACATGCAAGGCAAACACCCTACCCGCTGTGCTATCATTCCAGCCCCTCTAGCAGACATTTTAATCCTTTCATGTGTATTAACTTAGATCTTGACAGTTTTGTTGAAATTAATTGAAATTGTAGAATAACACATTCCTAAATTTTCTTTAGTAAAAATTTCATACATTTTGAGAGACAGTCCCTGGATTGAGCCTACAACGACTGAGGTCTAAATCTGTTTCGCTAACAGGTAGAAAAAGCAGACATGACTAGATGCAATTTCTCCTGGTAAAATCAGACACATTCATGACAATGACCAAGGTGGGGATATGGCTATATCACAACACTGCTATGTCTGTATGCTCATTATGACCTGGGGCCCAGCTTTCGATCAGTAGGTTTCTATAATTGGAAATGGCAGCAGGGGAAACAAATGTTGAGACCAAGATGCCAGCTAGGAATGAATGATACTTTGCCTTCCTGTGCTCATTGCCTTGCATTGTTTCTGCTGGTTTGTGAAAATCCACGTCTGTATTGTGTTATCTGTTCATGACTTGCACTGTTCCCAGTGGGGTGTGGACGGGGTGGAGGTGGGAAGGATGATGGGCTAGGGATATGGAGAGTCAAAGATAGTTGAGGAGGAAGGTCTTTCGGTGTGACCTGCAGGAGATCTCTGTGGAACAGCTGTGTCCTCTCTCTAGCCCCTTTCATATCCAGGTTTCCAGTGAAGATCCTGAGGAGGGAAGCATCTGTGTGTCATCTGAGCACCAAAGACATAGGCAGCAGGCATAGGCTTCATGGCAAAAGACAAAGACCCGAGGCCTGAGGGCTGCTTCAGGAGGCGTCTGAGCATGAGATGTGCACTCTGCACCAGCCCAGAGCAGAGGGCCTCAAACACAGTGCACCTGTGTTTTTTAGGCTGCTTTGCAAATGCAGAGTTGAGGCAAGACCCCTGGGAGATTCTGATTGAGCAGGTGTATGGATGGGACTTAGGAATCTGG